CTTCTTCCTCCTATGACATTCAACACCATCTCTCTTTATTGCAGGCTTCAGAAAAGAGCCCCTTTCCACAGAACCAAACGCAGTTCACACTACACGTGTTGCCAATTTTCCATCAACACAATAGCACATTTCTATGCCCTGAGGTGCCTCCAGTGAAGATCCTCCTCACGGCCTCCAAAGGCCAAGCTGCGAAAGTAAAGGACTCCAAATGAGCTATCGAGGTGCAGTCTTGAAAAGGACAGGGAAGCCAAAAGATAGGGCTCTGAAATTGGCCTAACGTGCCAACACTGAGCTGGTCCCCAGGCTTTAGCCCACCACCCACATTGCCATCCATCTGCTGCACTGCAGGTCCAATAGCTGCTTTCATTTCGAGTTATTTAGGAATCTGCTGGTTTTTAAGTGACCACCAAACACCCAAGAAACAGGTAGATTTTGGACCAGCTCCGCTGTGACAGCCTTCCATATGTCGCCTTTGCCAAAACTTCTGCATTGGCAGAACAGCTGTTCCCATTTGGTCTCATCCCATACACAGTATTCCCAATTCCTGGCAATGGGCATGGTGTGCAAACTCCAGTAATAACACAATCCAACACGCAAAGATTTTAAGTTACCTTTTCACTATAATATAACCTCTTCAGTTTTGTTTGAGTTTTGTTTGTTTGTTTTTAATACACAGGTCCCCAGGATACCTATCTCTTTCTCAGATAGGCTGAATGCTTTAACTTAATACATACCTCATATGTGGTTAAAAAATGACTGCAAGACTCTGAATATTTAGGCTTTGCTGCTGATTGAATGGGATGATCTGGAAGAATTTTTGTTTTCTATTTTGCAGCCTCTCCACTATTGGAACAGAATTTCAAGTATTCACATCATTAGCTACATTTTAAGACTGATAAGACATGGACAGTTTTACTTGGAAGCAGCAAAGCAGGGTTTGGACAAGTTGAACATCTGCGATGGACAAAACAAGGACAAAGATAGAAAAGTGTATTCAGAAACTGCCAAAACACCTTTGCCTCCTTCCCACCTCCACATGTCCAAAGCAGTCTGGGACCGTAGCCACCTAATTCTTCCCTGGGAAGAATTAAAATCAGCCCCTTATATCATCCTATTATAACTCATCAATTTAATGGCAGCTATCATTCATCAGCTCTAGGCCTGAGCTGATAGCAATTTGGGGAAAATATATCCAACATTTTCTAGATTCTCCTGCAACTCTCTTGGGTTGAACATGGGAGGTTTCCTCCAGTTTGCCACAAAACAATTCTTCATTGAAGAACATCAAGGCACTTCATCAACACACTTTTCTTGGCAGTCCTTCAAACGCACTGTCGCAGGGGGTGATAAGAAAAGAGAAAGTTATGGAAGAATAACCAGGTGAATTTTGCCAGAGGAAGAGTGTTTGGTCCCTTTTGGTGTCCAGAGGGTGATAATCCCCTGGATGCCTTCATGGAGCTACACAGCAGGGTCATGCAGTGAAGCAAAGGTGCCTCTTTGTGTGGGCAGCCCTGACTGAGTTTCATCAGCCACAGCAGCCTCTATTGTGAACTATAGCTAATTTTAAAGAAAACCAAGTTGATAATTTCATGCCCCGTTAAACTAGTAATTCCATTGTGCCTTGCTGGACTTGGGCAAGGCTGTTCTCATCTCCACCCAGTTTTCCTCAGCCTCCAAGCCATCACTGCAAAGTGGTATTAATTAAATACAGATGTTCTCCTCCTCAAAGTGCTGACTAAGGAATGTCAAGTCCTGTCTCCTCGGACACTATTAGGGGCCCCTTCGGGTTATCTAAACACTTCCAGAAAGTACTGCAGTGTACTGCAAATTGCAGAGCTACGAGTGGACACTCCAGGCTCTCTTATCCCTAAGCTTCCAGGCATGTTGCAAGCGCTGCAGTGCCTCCAAGGATATGTCTGGATGTGCTGATATGGGCTCACTCCCTGGACAGCTAAAGCCAGAACACGCTATTTCCAGCAGCCTTTGGCACTGACAAGAAACAGGAGAGCAACCTGCATCCTGGCAGTATAATGGAGACCTCATACCACGTAGGAAGATGCTGCTTCTCCTATAGCTGCTCTCTCGGAGAGGGAAAAGCCATTCACAAAGCAGCTGGTCTGAACATCCAGCTAATGGAGCGAGGAAATCACTCTGCGAGGGGAGGTGAAAGGAAATTTTGAGAGAGACATTCCCCACAACAACAGTTCAATTTCAAGTGCAAATTCTTCAGCACACAACGGTTTGGTGGAAAGCTTCAAGAAATTGGCCAGAGATCCTGCCACAGGCTTGGGAGCTCAGCTGTGAAGAGAGCACATGGTTTTCTGAACATCTAAATGGAAGGCAGATCTGATGTCAGCAAATAGCACCACTACTCAGAGGGGACCCTTGCTGGACCCTTCCCAGCCTGGAAGCTGCAGCAGGTCTCCTCTAGGCCCGCTTTGCATTCAGTTCCCTAGGAAAGGGCATGCCATTTCTTTAAAAAAAAAAAAAAAAAAAAATCAGCTTTACGTTTTCTCCCATGGTTGCCTCTTTCAGTTTATACAAGTTGCTTAAGCCCTCACTTTTTAAAGCACGTTTCTGAGCAGTTATTATAAGAACAGCATCACCTGTCCTGCAAGCAAAACAGAGTTCTTCAGGTTTCCCACTTGCAATGGCAAAAGCTCCCCTAGCAGAAGGCAGACACCGGCTTTGGGCTGTAGCAAGTTTCTCCACCACAATCTTTGCTGTTTTCACTCCCAACTCTATCTTGTTCTCTTCTCCTTTGCATTACGGAGACTGGCATGTTAGTGAGCTCACATTTACAGAGCTGGGAACCTCATCACGATGTTTTATCCTGTTGCTGACCACTTAGCTAGTTTTTAATTTAGAATATCATTTCAAAGACAATTCCTCAGTGTAATTGTATAATTTCACGCCTGAAAGGTATTTCAAATCTCCTTTTAATTTTCAGTGGTGATTTCCTAGCTCCTTGGAGCTGAATCAAAAATTTAGGAAAGTCTTTCTTCCTGAAAGTTTCTTCCTAAAGAAAAATGTTCTATATACCATAGCTAGGTAAGATGATCAGTCAATGCTGGCAAGCTGTAGGGAAACCCAGACTCCTGGTTTTCTTGGATTCGTTCCTGCATCCTGTTGACTTTCCCCCATTCTCCTGCTCCTCCAGCAAGGCAGGACACGGGAGAGAAGTCCCATTCAGATTTTGTTCTTAGCTTTTCTTTATCCTTCCAGTTCATATTACCCACTTCCCAAGGAAAAAAAAAAAAGATGTGTTTAAGCTTATAAATCTCATCTCTTTGTGATCAATAAGAATTTCCCATCCAAATCTTGGAAGGCAAATTTGAAACCTTGCATCATCTTCCCACTCCCAAAGTCAACAAGTTCCTGTGAAATGTCACAGGACCTCAACTTGCCTGCAGCACATCCATGAAATACTCCATGAAATACTTTTGGAAAGGCTTCCAAAGGCCAAGAGAGAAACCGGGGATATAACTCTCCCTTGAGAGCTTCTCCTTCCATCTGAAGTGGATAATCTATTTTGTCTGAGTCTGAGGACAAACATTTTCCCCTCTGAGTGCGCAGACTTTCACTGTTGCTAGCAAATATATGGACCTGCTGGCAGGCAACTATATAAATGACTATTACAGCAGCATCCCATACATCCCTTGCAAAAGAGGCTCTCAAAAAGGCTTTGTTTTTTTTACATCATTTCACACCATCTGACATAAGACACATTCTTTGTGCTATTTTTAGTAAACTAATCTGTGTTTGGAGGCAATTTTCCCCCTCGGATATTTCTGGATGTTTGATAACTGACACAGCCCCCACAAGCTAATCATTTGTCATCGTTCACCACAGAAGGTCACTTAGGACCATTTTAGCACCTCCCAGTACTTAACTGTCTAGAAGAAGTGATCGTTCTCTTTGAAGTTCAGCAAAGAGCTGGCAAGAAGTTTCCAGGACCAATTATTCCAGACTACTGGTTTCCTATTAGGTCACAGGAAAGCATCAGCTGCTAGTTGGATTTTCCAGTGTGTGCAGGTGCCAAGTAAGAGGACAAACCTCTGGGAAACCAACCTCACTTGGATTTGTGGCTGACAGCCTTCTTTTTCATCTGCTAAGGATAGTCTCTGGATTTGCCTAACAATGAAAAGAAACACTTAGACTATTTCTGAGCATTATATGGTGCAAGAGAAATTGATTCTGGTCTATAAAAAGGTTACTTCTTATCACGGACCCTATATAAAACCACTATGATGTTTGCAATTATCCTTAAGATGTTCATTTTATTTGTTATCCTGCATTCAAAGACATGTATCATTTTAATAACCATGTTTAACTGGTATACATATTTTTTCAGTACTTTAATAGGATTTCTCTTCTGTGACGAACCATGAAATGTAGTATTTTTTTTTTCCAGAAAGAGTGTGAAATTTGTCAGCTTTATCAGCAATTTGTGCAGAACTTGCTTCTTGGATTTAGTGTCTGACTAACTCAATGCCTCCTTCCCACATTTAGTCTACCAGATTAGAGTGTTAGAAAACACACAGTTCATCTTCTTTTCTTAAAATGGTTGTTGCACTCGTGGAACTGATACATTTTATTGTGCGTGTGTATGTTTATATTTAATTGCTGAAGCTTAATGAAGAGCATTATGCCTAATTCTCTGCTGGAGTGACTTTATTGTGCTTCCTGTACAAGCACACAGTTATAATACCCAGATGTCTAGGAGCCATGGATACAGCTTAAGATCCTGAAGCTATACAAACCAGGGGAACAAAAAGATCCCTGCCCCAGGAGTTCAGGAACAAAGCAAAAAACAAGGCCACAGGCTGGCACAGACCAGCACTTTTAAGCAAGACCCTGTTGGCATCATGACCAGTAACAATGCCAAACCACCAGAGACCTATAAATAGGAGATTTTGCCCATTTGGAAGATCCCCAGTATGCAAATACCTTGTTATTTGTAGATTTGGGGCTTATTCGTCTTCTGCAAGAACAACCTCCAGAAAATAAGCGTGTTCTGATGATTGCCCCAGACTATAATTTAGTCTCGTATCTGCAGGTTTCAGGTTTTGTTCGAGTACATAATGGTTCGGTGGAATGCTTCCCGGCAGTCCCTCCGTGCACACTCCCTAATAACAGAGAGATCATTTATTGGAGAGAATGAACACGTTCTTGCATAATCCTCTTTTGTATGAGAAGTTTCAAGGATATGAAAGCAGCAATTATCCTCACCTTGGCTAATACAATTAAGAAATTCCAAAGTACCAAGAAGAAGCTGGAGCAATTAGACTTTGAAAATCATCTAACTATGAATTGTCATTTGCCAGCAAGCTATAGTTAGATCAAATTAAACCAAAAAATGCAGGGAATGATCTAAAAGAAGTCAAAGGCAGTGGGGTGGAATCTCCACTGCAGTTTGGAGCTGGATCCAAACCCCCCATGAGCAAGGACCACAAATTATAGGCATTTGGGAGCTGTAAGGGGACTAGACACTAAACATTTCTGCTAACCTAGGCAGAAATATTCCATTAGTTTAGTGATAACTGTGGAACTAATTATGTTCTCAATCCAATCCAAAAATGTCTCAGGTAACATGAAAAAAAATCCACTTAAGTCTCTACTGCTGACTCCAGCTTCTGTGCAAGAAGTAGGCTGGCCCTCACAACGGGCTCAAATCCTGAACAATTTGTCTCTGATACCATGTTAAAAATTCCCAACGGATTGTTAAAGTTTAAGTATCATCAGCAAAAAACAAAGCAGTCTTTCCAATGTATGTATTCCTGGCAAGGCCCCAAGATAAGCACTGAGACAAAGTAAGGCAGCACAAGGCAAAAACATGATCACAGAAGAGCTTGGGCCACCTAGTAAGTGTGATCCATGAGAATGGATGCCTTTCTAGGAGACATTCCATGTGGCCAGTTTTGCTCAGCAGCAATGGGGACCCCTTGAGAATGCTGCCATTTTTAGCACCCAGTGTCTAGTTAACACAATACTACATTTGAGGGTGCTTCAAATGCTGTGACAGGCAGCAGGGCAGAAGTGTTAATCTGAGTGAAGCTCTAATTCTGGCAAAGGTTTGGGTCAACATTATTCCTCTACACAAGAATATGAGTCTTAGTTTATTACCTCTCCTTGGTATTTAACCTTCTTGTTTCTTTGGGCAAAATTACCCATTCCCTGAGAAATACAAGGGGAAAGGTATACAAGGGGAAAGGAATACAAATTCACTTCTCATTTCATAGCAGAGGCTTTCATGAAGCTGATGCTTTTTCATAGTAAAAAAAGGATCATCTTTGTAAAAATGAAAAGAGATTCTTAGTGCTTTTGAAAATAGGATTAAACAATAGTCTCAGCACTTATTTGTCTGCGTAGGCATGTTTACAAGAAGTTTCTACATCATTTCCCATGCTACACGTCCATTGGTATCTACTTTAGGAGAGAGAATATCATTAGGACACCAAAGAGCACTCTTTGTGCTCTTTAGAGTCAGTTCCTAATCCTGACAGGCTTTTTGCATCCCTGCTGCCCTTTATTTTCCCATAAAGTAGGGCAGTGTTTTTATCTCCCTATGCTTGGGGATTTTACAAAAGGGAAAATGTGCAGTTTGTGTATGGACAGAAATGAGGAAGAGCAATTTCTGAGGGGTCTAACGCCCGGAGTGCACCAAGCCAAGCCATCCTGGAGGAGAAAGGAAGGCGCCTGGTTCAGTTGGAGTGATCTAAACCTGGAAGAGCTTTATGACTTTCTGAGTTCAAAAGAAGCCATCAGCTCTGTTTCTTCAGCATCCTTGTCCAGGTAATTCCAGGGGGATTACCCCGAGCGGGGTCTGCAGGGCAGCAGCGCTCTGCAGCGTACACCAAGGGAGCTCCTCTTTGCTTTAATCTGGGAAAGGCAGCCTGCCAGCAGCAATGCAAAACAGGGCCTTTTCTGAACCAGCTGACGATAAGAAACCCCCTAAAAGGTGGTGCTGGGCTCAGCGACAGCTCCTCCACTTGAGACAATGGAAGATCTTGCAGACAGGAGCACAAGACACATACCAAGGAGAGGGAAGCTGTTGGAAGCCAGGTAGTCTGTGGTCTAAGAGCGCTGTGTTCAGGCCAGCTCTGCTGAGGAGGGTCCTGCATGTGATGGCAGGAGACTGTGCCCGAGCAGCAGCTGTGCAGAGCCAGCATGAGGACCGGGAAGTGAAGGGCTCCCCTGAAGATACACCTGGCTGCACGGATGTAAAGCCTGCCAGGTGTCCGACAACTGTCCTTCCCTACCACAAAAACACATTGATTTGCCAGAAGGAGTCAGCAATAATGGAAATGTGTCACTTAGGCAGCTCCCCCCCACATATCCCTCACTCACAGTCTCCCTGTCGTGCTGCGGGAGTCTCTCACATCAGGAGTAACTTTGGGACTAACTCCAGTTCAGCTCCACAAACCAGCCCAGCCAGCTCTGCCACAGCACCTTTCCACGCCAGCCCTACAAAAAGGCATTTAGAGATTAGGAGAAATCACAAAATACAGGGGCCACTCCCGGCCCAGGAAGCTTGACTTAGTTGCGGATATGTTAGGTGTGCCCCTAACTCCACAGGCAGGGGCAAGAGTCATTCTGGAGAGGTTTCCTTGCCTCAGTGCTATGCAACAGCTCCAAAATCTGGAGTGGAAGTGCACAGGGGAGAAGAAAAGCTTTGGCACCAAGTCTCCTGTGAAGAGGACAGCCATAGACAACACTTAAGTTCATGGAAACTTGCACCACTTGACCTTACTGTGCTCTTAAAGTATATTTAATACCACAACAAGGCTCTCCAACTAGCCATATGGCTTGAATATCCTCTTATATATAACCATTAGTTCTACATGTAGAGGATAAAGCCCAGGTTCAGATGTGGTGGGAAGAGTTTCTCCCAGCAGCACCACCACACAGCACTGGACACTCCATTAAAACCACAGCAGAGCAGAAGAGTTTGCACTGCTGTAGTAAAATATGAATTCATTTCTCTCATAAAAACTTGTGGATTGCAGTCATTTTATGTTATTTTTGTCGGGAGGCCAAATAACACATGACTGGACAGAAATGTCAGTGATTTTTACAGCTGACACTAGATAACCTTGAGCTTGACAGCAAAAGGATCAATTCTTGCTATTCTCACAACCAGCTTCCTATCACAAACTTAAACTGCTTTTGGAACTTGATGCTCACACACTGGGATAAAACTCTCACCGTGTTTCAAACTCTTTTAAAAAGGAAGGCTTGATATCCACTATGTAACCTAAGTAGTGCTTCCAATTCATACAGAAATACAACGAAGTAAAAAATAGGATGATTCCCATCTCCATATTGGCTTAGCTATACTTGACTGCATTTGCTTTGCTATGCATCTAATTTCAGGCTTTACTGAGGAGGTTAATGAACACACAGCTAATAGTGCAGCCGGCTGAAGGACAGCACCATGTTCCGTGTTCCAGCCGAGCTTCTGGCAGAGCCTGATGCTCTCCTGTCCCTGAGGCACAGGAGGCTCAAGAAGGAAAGTCTGGAAAGTTTGCCTGTGGATGCCTGGTCTTCTACTAATCCCAAGAGTCATTCCCATGGCAACTTCCTTCTGCACAGGGAGAACTAGATGGAACGTGGATATCTCCCATCCTTTGGGATCCATTCAGATCCAACACAGAGAGTAGCTTATGCCCTGCTCATTCCCTCAGCCTCCCGGCTATCTTGGTGGAGCAATCTGTGAGGCATGTCAGCAAGAGAGACCCAAGAGGTTTGAAAGCTTGTCCTAGGTAATCTCGCTCCTTATTAACGGTAGACTTAGGCAGCTATCACCAGCGATTCATCTGTAGTTAAACCGGCAAACTAATTTACAACAAGGGATTTACCTGGGAAGGCAGGAAAATAATTTCATGCCTCATTGTCTTCCTGTGATCCCATTATCCCAACAGATGTTGCTTCCATTATCAGCCAAATATGAAATGGAGCTAAGGAGCAAGGAAGGGATCACTCCTGAACCTCTGCTTACATAAGGAGGGACACCTAGCCCAAGGCTAGTTTCTGTGCTAAATAGCATCTTCCTTCCCTCCTCAATCTGATTATCTGCATAGACTTGCAAGCAGGTCTGTCCTCTAAGGAAGTCAGAGAGACACCTCAGCTAGAGACGGATGTATGTGCACACAGTACCTACAGGAGGAAATTGCAACGATAAGAAGCCACAGTATGAAAGCCCTCGCTGTACAATCTCAAATGATAATCTCAACCAGTAACCCCTATCATAAAGGAGGGAAACGGGTTTAGGACAGGTAGAGAGGTGTATTAGTGGCAGAGAGTCTCTGTACCTGGCAATCCTGTGGTAGCAGAGAAAAAGAGCTCAGCCCCAAGCAGCTCATTGTTCCCGAGTCACCAAAGGCAAGCACATCTGACATAACAAGTGGATCCACCTCAACCAACAAGCTTGATGCAATTAAAACAAGAAGGTTGAGATTTTTCTGCTGCTTTAGGCCAAGTCTGTAGAGCTGCCTAGAGGTGCAGCAATTTATTCAGATGTTAAGAGAGGTTAGATATGAGCTCATCTGATCAAGGTCTCCATTCTTTTGTACTGTGCAAGCAGTTGAAGACAGAATGACCCGAGTGCTTGATATTTCACCCTAAAAGCAGCTAGGAAATGTCATATTTACAAGATGTCTTACGCAGATGTCTCTCTGAGCCCTGCATGAAGCATGAGCCTGGGGAAAAGGCAGGTGATAGTGTCAGGAGAAATCAGATTCGTTGTACTGGGGGGACTCCGCCAGCACTCCCAGTGGGACACGAGCCGGGGAAGAGGCAAGGCAGTTTGTCAGGGGGACATGAGCCGAACGGCACAGGGGAGGAAGCAAAGACACCTCTGTAGCCAGAGGACTACCCACCAGCTCAACATCAAAGGCTTGCTGCCGAGTGGAGGTGTGAGAGCTTTGCGCAGAAGGGATTGTCAAGATCTTTTTATAGACGGCGTCGGCATAAAGAGGTTTCACGCAGGTTTCTCCTCCTATACAGCTATACCTGTAGTTACCTAAGCATCATATAGTTATATCTATGACAGCACAATTTGTAAAATTGCCCCTTCTCTGGGTTTGCATGTTACTGGATTATTTGGAAACTAATAAAAGGCAAATCCACATTGGGAGCCTTTCCCTCCATGGGGCCTCTGCGGGGACAGTTGCCTCCCCCAGACTCTTCTCACATGACTTGGAGAATCTATGAGATTTGACAGAAATCAGTCAACAGGTTCCAGACTCCCCAGGGCAGAACGGATTGGTTTTGTGAGGATGCAAGACTCCTCTTTCTTTATAAAAATCACAGCGCCAGCAACTTAATAGACTCTCTGCCCTTTACATTCACATTACTATGGGCGATACAGAATAACATATACGTTAATACAACATAGTTTCAGGCATCAATTGCAGAGAATGTAGCACCTAACAACCTACTTTAAGAGACTACATACCCACAAAGCAGTTTGACACTCAAGTTATCTTCTAAAGGTTCTTAAGGCGAAGAATGGCGCAACCTTAAAATAGCTCACGAGCACTTTGCTCTGCATATTTTTTTTCCACTGCACCCAGATAGGCATCTCCTCGACAAGTATGTCACCGCTAGGAGAGCCCCGTATGCATGGAGGCCCGTTCACTTCTTTGCTTTGTGCTCTCCTGTCTCCCCTTACTGCTGCTGTAGCCTAAAGAGCTTGCAGCAAGTTTCTCCTGGAGCACAAGAACCTCTCCAAGGAGCCCATGGCCAAGTACGGTAGCTCCCGTGAGTGGTAACACCCCAGACACTCAGGTCTGTAGGCGCAAGACAAAAAGTCACACTTGCCACCCACCTCCACCTTAATCCACATTGGCATTAAAGATGACTAAGAACAATCCAACTGTCCTTTCCATTTTCAATGAGAAGGTTTTAGTCTTCAGTGTGGGCACAGTGGAGACACAGTATCAGAGCCTTTCAAGCGCAAGAGCCATTTCCACTATGAATCACAGTTTCCTGATTCATCAGCAGTAGGGTTTTCTGTCTAAATGGATTTAAAAAAGGGTGTCACAACTAACCTTTGATTTATTGCACCTCCCTAGTACAACTTCATCCAGCCAGCTTTCTAGCGTTCCCCTCACAACCCATTGCACAAAAGACTAGCCATAGCCACAGCAGATTGCCTCTACTTAGACCACGGCAATGGTTCAGGCAGTCTCCGAAGCAGTTCCTAACCCAGGGCTTTACGGCTCAGTTACACAACGTTACCTCCTAGGCCTTGGTGGCTGCAACGGGAAAGTCCCGCAGAATTCAGTAGAAATCTCAGAGCGTTGATCTGCAGCCTAAGGTGCGAACGTGACCCCCTTTCTGCAGCCATGGCAGTTTCTTCTGCCCAGCTCCCTTTACTTTCAGGCCTCCACAGATGTTACAAGTCAAATTTTACAGGCCATTTTCATCCTGAAGAGTTACATCAGCAAAACACCCAGATATATATTAGAAAGCAAACATCTTTTTTTAAGGTATGCATAGGGAGGACAACCTTGATCTTCATTTCAAACCTTCCTCTGCAGTTAGCCAGGCAGTTAGGATTTTTCCGAGATTGTTCTGTGACATTTCATACAAAATGCTGCCATAATAGTGCCAGTTCTGTGTGAACACTGAACTTCACTGTCAGTGGTACCTTGCAGGCAGGCACAGTGGTGCCTCATTTTTGATATAGTCCACAAGAGAAGCCCAACCTGACAGAGAAAAACAAGTTTTTTTGTGGTTCAACGGGCAGGGTGCTACAAAACCATCTCCAAATTAAAATATCAGACCTTAATCTGGAATGTTTTGAGCTTTAAAACTGTTTTCTGGACAGAGAGTGACTTTTCTGAAAAGACTTATCCAATTCCTTTGCCATCTCCAGTTTTCCATTTCCAAAAGCTTCCTCTAACCATGTTTTGCACATCTCTGACCTACAGGACAACTGTTTTTAACTTGCCTGAAGCTTAGGCAGGCTGACTGAAGGCTACAGACTATTTCTGCATAATAGTCTGAAAAAAAAACCCAACAATGAAGCAGAATAAACCTTGTAGGTCTTCCACCATCAGCA